GCTTCTGTCCAAAAGTGCTTAGCCATATTGGTTTCATTTATCATGGTCCTGGCCATCTCTTGTAAAGTTCTATTCTTTATTTCTACAACTCCATTTTGCTGGGGAGTTATAGGACAAGAAAAATTATGAACAATACCGTTTTCTTTAAAATATTTTTCAAAATAATGATTTTCAAATTCACCACCATGATCACTTCTAACTTTTGTGATTTTAAAATCTTTTTCATTTTGCACTTGAGTACAGAAGTCAATGAATACAGAATGTGACTCATCCTTGTGTTTTAAAAACTTTACCCATGTCCATCTGCTAAAGTCATCAACAATGACCAATCCATACTTCTTGCCTCTGATGGAAGCAATTTTAACTGGCCCAAACAGATCAATATGAAGTAACTCTAATGGCTTAGAGGAAGATACAACATTTTTAGATTTAAAGGAAGGTTTTGAAAATTTTCCTTTTTGACATGCTTCGCACAGAGCATCTGAGTTGTACTTCAGATTGGGAAGTCCTCTGACTAAATTTAATTTATTTAGTTGAGAGATTTTTCTAAGACTGACATGTCCCAATCTTTTGTGCCATACCCATTGCTCATTGCTAACAGACAAAAGACATTTGACGTTTTGAGATTTAAGATCTGATAAATCAATTTTGTAAATGTTGTTCTTTCTCTTGCCAGAAAAGAGGATTAATCCATCCTTTTGACTTACAGCTTTACAAGAGTTTTGATTGAAGATAATGTCATATCCATTGTCACTTAATTGACTTATGGATAATAGATTATGAGCTAATCCTTCTAATAATAAAACATTAGAGATAGAAGGAAGGTTACCGTTTCCTATGGTTCCAGAACCAATAATCTCCCCTTTCTGATTACCTCCAAACTTCACATCTCCTCCAGCTTTAAGTTCCAAGCTTTGGAACATAGACCTTTTTCCCGTCATGTGTCGTGAGCACCCAGAGTCCAGGTACCATGACTGGTATTTCAATTGAGCTGTTAAGGACATCTGCAACAAATATTATTTTATCCTTAGGTACCCATATCTTTTTGGGTCCTTTTGGGTTAGTATAAGAGTTTCCAGAATGTGATGTATATTTTATATCATGTGGGTGTCCAAACTTGAAATGCCTATTCAGAGGTTTGTAAGTGAAAGTTATTTTAGCAACAAGTTTTGGAATGTATGTCTCCTTCCCTTTGGGAGGTTCATATCCAATTCCTCTTCTGTTTTTCCCACTAACTCCATAGATCATTGAAGCCATTTTGCTTCTGTCTATGCTTTTAGCAAGAAAAGATTGAAAGCTATAGTCATATTCTTTCAGAATATCTTTTGAACTAGACACAGACTCTGAACTAAAATTCTTTTGAACAATTTGAATTTCCTTTTCAAGTTTTAGATTGTTTTCTAAAAGTTTAGATTTTTGTGTTTCAAGTTTCTTAAAATCAGATGCAAGACTCTTCTTGAGTTTCTTGTATTTGATTTTGAGCTTACTATAGTTTTCCAGAAGTTCTGATAAACTATCAGCAAGTTCTTCTCTAGAAAATTCAGAAAATACCTCTCTTTATTCTGACTCATAGTCTGAGTCATTATCTGTGATAGCCATTAAAGCTAGGTTGGCATTTTCATCTTCAGAACCAGATTCATCTTCAGAATAATCTGAGTCATCCCAGGTTGCCATCATTCCTTTCTTCTTTCCAAATATCTTCTTTGGTCTTTCTTTTTAAAGCTTTGGATAATCACTTTTGAAGTGACCAGGTTCTTTGCATTCATAACAGATGATCTCTCTTCTGTTTGACTTTTTATGTCCAGAAGATTCTGGTTTATCTTCTGACTTCTTGAAGTTCTTGAACTTCTTTTGTCTGTGCTTCCACAGATGATTGATCCTTTTGGATAGCAAAGATAGTCCGTCTTCTTCTGAAGCTGATTCTTCAGAGTTTTCTTCTTCAGCCTAAAAAGCGTTAGTATCAAATTTCTTAATTGATTTAAGGGCTAGAGACTTACCTTTCTTCTGAGGCTCATGCTCATCCAGTTCAATCTCATGACTTCTGAGAGCGCTGATGAGTTCCTCCAGAGACACATTGTTCAGATCTTTTGACACCTTGAAAGCAGTGACCATTGGTGCCCATCTTCTAGGTAAGCTTATGATGATCTTTTTCACATGATCTGCTTTGGTATACCCTTTGTTCAAAACTCTCAAACCAGTGATCAGAGTTTGAAACCTAGAGAACATTGCTTCTATAGACTCACTCTCTTCAACTTTGAAGGCTTCATACTTCTGAACTAAAGCCATAGCTTTAGACTCCTTAACTTGAGCGTTTCCTTCATGAGTCATTTTGAGAGACTCAAACATATCATGCGCTGTATCTCTATTCGTGATTTTTCATATTCTACTTTAGAGATAGCATTTAAAAAAATATTTCTAGCTCTGTGATGATTTTTAAAATCAGCTTTTTGTTGTCTATCCATATTTTTTCTATCCACTTTGTTTCCTTCAGAATCTGTAGGATGTTTGTAACCATCCAAGACTATATCACAAAGATCACTATCATGACCTAGAAAGAAACTTTCTAGTCTATCTTTCCAGTATTCAAAATCTTCTCCATCAAACACTGGAGGTTTGTTGTAACTATTATTGTTTTGTTCAGCGGCCATTGTGTTTTCTTCTGGATCTTTTCCTGACACGGTTAAGTGTTAAGCTCAGAGTCAAGCTCTGATACCAATTGAAGGGGTACGAAAACACTTAGAAGGGGAGGTTGAATAAATGACTCTTTTCCTTTTCAATACAAAGCTCAAACAATAATGGAATAACACAATTATTTTTATCCTGGTTCGTTTTAACTCAAACTACTCCAGTCCACCCGCCAAGGTGATTTCTCCTTTCTCAACAAGGACTTAATCCACTATAATCAACTGATTACAATCACACAACAAATGTTGTGACTAACAATGCACAAGTAATCTTACAAGTGACTAACAACACTAAGACTTAAATCTAGTCCTAGTCTGCTTGAGAAATCTGACCAAACTTGGTCTCTCAAGGAACAAATACAGAAGTATAATCTTTACAAATAATTGAAATAGAGTTTTCTTCTAATCAAGCTATATCACAACTGTGAATTTTCACTTAGAATATAATACACAAAATGTATGAACTATGAGTTTGTGAGCTTTTGAATCTTTCACGTAGTTTCTTGTTTTAACGTTATTATTGGCTTGCAATAAATGTCCTTCTACTTATAGTAGGAATAATAAGACCGTTGCTGCCTTCAGAGGAAATGGAGAGCATTAAATGCTTTGCGTGTATCCTTGCAAAATTCCATTCTCCAAGAAACTAGTTGTAGACACTTGAGTGCTTTCAGCCGTCTTTGCATTAATTAGCAAACGTCAGAATGTAAGAACGTGTTTCCTTTGCTTTGGCAAGACACGTTGATTAAGACGTTGTTTCTGTTTTTGCTTTAAGTCAGAACATGCTTCATTCAACTTCTGGTCAAAGCGTTGCTTGCTAAGAACTTTGAACAACGCTTGCTTTCAAGTTATCTTCAGAATCAAGAAGCCTGCTAGAAGTTAGAAGATACATTTAAAAAGTAAAGGTTCTTACCAGAGTCAGCAGATGCGTTTGAATAAAAGGTTCTTTTATCAAAAAACTTCTTCATAATCTTTGCTTAGTACTTTAGAATGTTTCTTGTCAGAACATTAACTAAGACATTCAAAACACATTCATTAGAGCATAAATTATCTTAAATATAATTTAGTTATCATCAAAACACTTGAGATAGGTCAAAACTAATCTTGTTCTTTCACTTTGGTCCCCAGTCCAGTTCATTAGCTTTCAGCCAAATTAGAGAGTGATCAGAAATGTCTTTATTACCCGTGTTCTGACCAATGATCTTCCAATTATCAATTAAAGCATGGGATAACATGAACATGTCTAACATGTTTCTCGCACTCCCTTCCTTATTAGACCAAGTGAATTTGTTGCCCATGGCCGAGACATCCACTAGTTCAATAAAATCGATGAATTCATTGAATTCATTCATATTAGTGGATATGCAGTCTCTGTTCCTTCCCAATCTTTCATCCTTTTCTCTCACAGTGTTGAAATCTCCACCCACACACCACCATCCATGGTCAAAGTTGTTTTTGAGATTGACCAATTCTGACCACAAAGCTCTTTTCCTCTCTAACAGGCAAGACAAATATACGTTAACAAAGTAACATAACTGAATTTTATAATAAGCATATACCCCAATTGAGCCTTCTGTTCTGAAGCTGAAAATAGGTGATATCACCTTTGTCTTCCACATGATAAGAATCCCACCTGAAGCTCCTTCAAAATCTTTGGCTGACCAACTCACCTCCTTGCTTCCCCATAAACTTGCCACTATTTTTTCATTCATGTTTTGAACTTTAGTTTCTTGGATGAAAACCAAGTCTGCCTGCCCTTTATTAATGATTTGGTTCAACCTTCTTCGTTTTAAAGAAAGGCCACATCCTCCGATCTTTAGTGATACAATATTCATCACAACATATTTTTTTTCATCTTCCTTGATTTCAACCCATCCGCATCACACAACTTCATCCTCTCAATTGCCTCCACAACATTATCTTCCCCCTTGTCTCCTGAAATTCTTAATTGAGTGATTTTCCTTCAAACCTTTGATGCCAGATTTACTTCCTGATTTTTTTTTGATCGATCATCTCTCATAGATAAATTACAATCTGTTAAAGACTTGCTGTAAATAGCAAAAGATTGTACTCATTAATTCTTCTTTAATGAATTTTCCATGTCAACATTATTGTATGAAAATCCCTTTTTCTAGATATCTATCAATTACTATTACATTGACAAAACTTCCTAAAATGCCCTTTCATCAAAAATAAATTGCACTACTAAAAGGACATTCCGGTAACTAACAAATTACACCATCATTTTTCAGATTTTTCAACATAATACCCCCAAGTGTTCACATTTCATTGGTCCTAATTAAAATAAGTTATTTTCAAATGTTATCACATTTCTCTCTTTCTCTCCGTCGTCTCTTCTCTTTCTTTTTCAGAAACCCTAAAAATCAACCGCCACCGACGGCTTTCTCCCCCTATTATCGGCCACCACCACCTCCAATGAAAAAAAAATCAAAGGCTATTCACACTCTTCATCTCACTGGCTTCCTAATGAACCGAATAAGGTATGCATTATTTCATGTTTTTGTTTGTTGTTTTTACTATAGCCATGTTTAACTTTCCCCTCTTTCACTCTGTATTGCAATTTTGGTTGAAACATTTTTCTAGTTTAACTATATCTTTGTCCGGTTTAGCATTTTCTGATTTAAGCTTATTTTTGCAACCCTCCTTGAATAAATTTGAGAGCTTAACCAAGGACAATCAACAACTTAAGGAAAATTGCTGAAAAATCCAGGTCAGTGTCAATCAGTTCTCCATCTTTTAAATGTCCAAACTCTTCATCTTCTGACAGTAGGAGCGATGCCAGTAGCTCTCTTATGCTCATAGTTAGGACATATTGGGAAATCTTGATTGTTAATCCCTGCCAATGAATTTGATGTATGTTGTTAATATAATAATCATATTTTTGTATAGTGAGAAGAGGCGGAAACTGCATTGAAGAGAATGTTGTTCCTCTAAATTTTCAAGAGGATTACAGACTGTTAATTACTCAATATCATTGAGTCGGAAACAGTTTCCATTTGATAGAAGAATCCCTTCTACTCAGGCAACAACTATAATATGTGTTGCAGCTTTGGTAAATGTTCTTTACTCTTATCTTAATTTCACCATATTTGGTAATCTACTCTCCTCATTAACTCTAGATTTCAATATTTTTCCAATTCTTATAATCTATCAGCTTCTAAACTTTGAATTCGCAGGATGCAAGATTGGTGCAGAGCAAATCCATCGACTAGGTTCTATTCTACATGAGCAATAATTTTCCTTCATATTAGTTAGAGCATGTATTATTATGGTAATTTTGAGTTTTACGAGATAGAACATTCTATTATGAAATTTGTCACTTGATAATAAATTATTTTGAACTTATTGATATAAGAGAATCTGATTTTAGTGGTTCTACCTTCAATGGTGCATACATGGAAAAAGTTGTTGCATTCAAAGCAAATTCTGATTTTAGTGGTTTTAGTGGTTCTACCTTCAATGGTGCATACATGGAAAAAGCTGTTGCATTCAAAGCAAATTTTACAGGTATATGTTTATAGTGAGTTCTATATGTAAAAGGTACCTAATGCGTTTATGATGTGTTATAGTTTCGTTGAATCTTTTTGCTTGACATTTTTTAGGTGCTGATTAAATGTGCTAACATGATTAAACCCAATCCCGTGGCTTTGATTTGGTTGTTTGTGCATTGACTCGAAGATGAATATCATGATATTTAATGAAACTTGGTTCAGCACCAATCTCTTGGAAAACAAAGAAATAAGGTACTGTATCATGATCTTCCAATAAAGCTCAATACTTAATAATAATGTATTAAGATGATAGTGTTTCAACTTACTCTCTTTTTGAATTATAAAATGATATTGATGAAACAGAATAACAATCAAAGTTATTCATTTTCAGGCCATTCTCCACCCTGAACAAGACAGAATTCTTAGTATCAGAGAGAATACAAGGCTACAAGGATTTCCTGATTGCTATAAACTTTGTGGCCCTATCAAAGAGACGCATGCTTAGAAGTATTACTTAATTTCTTACTTTATAACCTTTTCCCCATTATGTTTACTTGACATTCACCTCTTATGTCTTAAAAGCAGGTACATGCAAGTTGGAAAAGCAGTGGTTGTTCCTGTGGCTCTTTGCCTTGATCTCTTGCATTGCGTATTTACATTATATCGGTCTATAATTATTACCTGCTTTGGCCTTTTAGATAAAAGCTAGCCTGAAGAATCATTTCAGTTCTTGTGGAGAGATTACAAGGATCTCATTACCGAGACATGATTCTCATACTCTTAAGGGGTATGACTATTGTTCTACTGGAAGTTGTGATGCACTCTTGCATATATTGTGCATTCAAATCTAAAATTGCAAATTTTTTGCAGGCTTGCTCATTTGGAATTCAAAGATATTGATGGCTATAGGAAGACACTGTTCTAGACAATTTCAGTTTACAAATTGAAGCTGGATCTAAGGTGGCATTTGTAGGACCAAGTGGCACTGGAAAGTCGTCTGTTTTGGCCCTTTTGCTAAGATTTTATGATACTTCTGCAACCAAAAAAGTGAGTCGTTCTTCATCTGTTTTAATGCGCTTATTAAGCTCATCAAATTTGTAACATCCTCATTTCTTGGGAGCAAAGACTTGAGGTTCACAGGATTTGGTGGAATCAGATACAACTACTGTTGTGGACTATATATGGAAAAGCTTGCAATTGATCCAATTATACAAGATTGTTTATCTCTCTTGCTTCTGTTTAGACATCATTTTGTTATACATAACAAATATTGTCTATATATATGGGAGCGGTTCAGGAATTTAATGTATAAATGTGGATGAACATCATTACTTATTACATGAAAACTATTTAAAGATTTATCTAAAATTATAAGTTATTTTTAGAATTTCAATGAAATATTAGTATTCATTTGTAATTATATCATTTACTATTAATTATTATTATTTTTTCAATTCTTAACATTATCTTATAATTTTTTTTTTAAGAATGGAGAAGTAATAGAACATGCTGGGTTGTTAATATAATATATATTTTTATTTTAATAAAATTGAAAATTTATTTACTTTTTTTCATTCTTTCTTTTTTTTCGTTCTTTTAATTTATTTTTGTCTTATTGTTTCCCCTCCTTCCTTTTTCCCCCTTCTTTTTTAGTCTTATGATTTCTTCTTTCTTTTTCTTTTTTCTATTTTTCATTCTTTCTTTTTTTAAATCTTATTGATTCCTCTCCTTTTTTTTACATTATTTTTTTTTCTTTTATAGTCTTATTATTTCTTTTCTTTTCTTTTTCTTTCTTTTTTAAATATTATTGTCTTCACTCCTTTTTTTTCCATTATTTTTTCTTTTATAATCTTGTTATTTCTTTCCTTTTGTATGTTTGAGTTTCCACGATACATGTTTCACAAAATTAATATTATTTTTTAATATTTATAAATTTATAAAAGTTTCTGTTGCAAAGTTTAGAACAAATTTTAAATAAAGTATACTAATATGAGGTTTGATTCCCTTTTGTATTATAGTTATAAAAATTAATTTTTATTGATATAATTTAATTTATTTATTTTGAGTTCGTTTTAGAATTATCAATTCATTCTAATGATCCAAGATATAAAAGCCATTACACAAGATATTCATTGTACACTTTCTGATCTCTGCTTTTATCGCATTCATCTTGAATTATGAATTGATTTTGATATTGGAGTGTTAATCTTGCTAGTCCATCACGTGTCACAGTGACAAAGATCAACAACACTGGTTCATGATTTTTCATCATCAACAAACCTAATTCTAGTTCCTGGAGGAATAGTAACACCGTCTGTGAGAAATGACTCCTAAATTTCACAAGATACCACAAGTAGATCATCTTTGATCCAAAATTAGATCTCTATCGAAAGCATTAAAAAGTAGAGGTAGAAACTTCATTCAATGAACCAAAGAGATCCATCAAATCTTCTGATTTCATCCTACATCAATTATCATCTAAAATTTTCTTGCATATACACACATGTTCATACTGATATTTCCAATATGAATAAATGATGTCAGGACAAATGTTACGACATTTATAGACAGACTGAACAACAATATCAAACTAAAATAAATAGTAGAATTTAATGCACAATGATAAAGAACATAGTCAATTGTTAACCCAGTTCGGTGCAACATCACCTACATCCGAGGACTACCAAGACATGAAGGAAATTCATTATAATAGTATTAGTTCGAAGCCTAAACAATTCCAGTTTACAATTTGTCTCCTAATCACTACTCCATGCAACTTCTACATAGAAATGACCATCTAGATATGAGAAATCTCATCTCACTTTCAATCATCGTAGTGATACCTAAAGCCACAAACCTTGTGGCTAGACTTAAATCAATCACAATCATAGTGATGGTGTAAAAGAAATTCCAACAAAAGATTACACTTCAAATACAATAATACTTAGTCAAGACTCTTAACTACGAACAATATTTGATTTTGCTTAAAATCTTCATCCAAGAGAAATACTCAACTCATTACCTAAAGGTTTATGAGTGAGAACACTATGTCTACTACAAGTATCAAAATATACAAGAGTGACTTACAAACACAAGAACACAAGAGACTCTCAAAATCTAAGAATTAGACTTTCCCTAATTTTATAATTGTCAAAGTTCTCATTACATTAGGTCTAAGTCTTCCTTGTTATAGTCTTCAACTATCCATGGGCTTCAAATTTTCTGCCCAAATATTCCTTGATCCACAAGCTGAGGGTTGCATCAATTATGCAGAAAAGATCTCCTTAAATCTTGGAACACATCTTCAAGTTTCTTAAAATAGAAACTCTTGTACAATTGTAGATTAAATCTCTTGTTCCAGATTAAATCTTCTTGACTTGCAAAAATAACTAAGATATATCCAAAAGGAATCTAAAAAAATCAAATAAAATATGTTAAGAAAATAACAACTGCCATTGATGTATAACAGGCCACGATGTCACGACATCTGGCTTGACATCTACGAACCAGCATGACAGGAGAATCTGTCATGACAGTTGGTCAAGATGTTATGACATATTACTAAATCATCAGTAGGAACCATGTTTTAACAAAATATATCTAATCACAAAACCTTGGATCTAACATCATTTATCAATGAGATTTGCGGCGCAACATTAACCAATGCAAATACGATATTAGAGCAATTTCCCAAATAAGAACTGTCGTTGATCATTGAAGTGGAGATCGATTGGAAATAAGGTTTATAGGTTGGAAAAAGATTAATGGAACTTCAAACGTCAACATGTAGCTAATCTTGGCTATCATCTTCGCTTATGGTACCTTGATAGGATTCCTCATAGATGATAAAAGCTCTTGCAACATCCTTTATATCTAAAGTTTGGAGCAAGGGTTTCACCAACCAGGTCTCAATCCATATTGAAGTGGATATCTATTGGCCTTCAATGATTCGATAACTCATTTTTGCAGAATGATATATTTGATATTTTTGTTGGGAAAAGGAAAACACGAGAGAAAGATAAACCTTAGCTTCCCCTTAATTTTGTGTAGAAGTGCCTTCAAGGGAATTCTGAAGAGACCCTTTTTGGAAAACTAGATGCAGTAGCATCTCCGATTAACCTAAAGATAATGTATCATGATAAGAAGAGGGAATCGAACATCATTAGCGTCGACCTTAAAGAAGTAAAGTGTATCAAAGAAGTCATCCTTAAGAACATCCTTTCTTAGTCAGCAATAACAATGAAAGGTCCTAGAAATGTCAATATGTTCTACCTGAACGCCCGCGAAGATTAAGTTAGTCCTTCCTAGACGATGGACTTGAGATTATCCAGCTCGACGACAATCCTTCATAATTCATGAATATAAGATTTGTGCTTCCCTTTAAGGTAATATCCACACTAATTGAATGCCTAGGAGCAAACACATACCTTTTTCTCTATCCCTCCACACAAATTCCCGAAATTGATCCCTCGATAGCCTACCGTGAGTTAAATGTCGACCCCGACGTCTGTTACGTCTCCTAGAAATGAATAAGGTAGTCCCTTGAGAAAGTTGTAGCCATCAAAAGTACGGTGAAAAAGACATATTAGATGCAAGATTCATTTCCGAGGTGAAGTATATAGAGTGGTTATCCAACATCGTTCTGTTGAAGAAACCCTCGAGAAAGTGGAGGATGTGTGTTGGCTACACTAATATTAATAGAGCTTGTCCGAAAGACTCCTACGGGATCCCAAATATCAACAAGCTTGTGTATAATCCAATTATGTACAAGTTACTAATATTCATGGATGCTTACTCTGGGTATAATCATATATCCATGTTCGGACCCGATCGAATGAATACAACTTTTATGACTAAGCAAGCTAATTATCAGTACAACAGCATGCCCTTCGGGTCGAAGAATGTAGGCGTGAAATATCAGAGGATGGTGAATAAATTCTTCCAATAAGAGATATGGGATACATTTTTGGCATACATGGATGAAATGATCATGAAGTTTAGGAAAGAGGAGCCTCACACTTAACACCTCCAACGGGTATCTAAAACAGTCAAGTAGTATAATATGAGACTTAATCTAGAGAAGTGAACCTTTAGGATAAGAGCCAAAAAGTTCTTAGGCTTCTACCTAACTAAGCGGGGGATAAAAGAAAACACTGACAAATGTGAAGAAGTGGTCTGAATGAGCTCCCCGATCTTGAAGAAGGAGGTCTAAAAGTTGAATGATATGTTGACCACTTTGAACATTTCATTTCAAAATCCACCCAACAAGCATTGCCTTTTTACAAGTTGTTGAGGAAAAGGGAGAAGTTCAAATAAACATCTGGTTGCAAATAGGCGTTTGAGTTGTTGAAGAAAACCACGACCACTCTGCTGGTACTCACTCATCCTTTTCCATGAGAAAAATATACATATACCTAGCAATCATAAAGGAGGCAGCGAGTGTCGTCCTGATTTAAAAGTCAGACTATAACTAGAGCCCTATATAATTCATATCAAAAGCCCTAGATAAAGCTGAAACAGGACACTAGACAATAGAGAAAGAGGCATCGACATTTGTGACTATATCACACACTCTAAGAAGGTACTTTCTCGCATATTCTATAACCGTTCAAAGTGACTTTCCCCTAAAATAGTTATTTTTTCTATTAGGTTTGACTGGGTGCTTGACGAAATGAGTCATCGAGTTATCAGAGTTTGAAGTATCTTTCAAATATAGGAAATCACTAAGGCTCAACTATTCACTGACTTCCTAACCAAAATGACTCCCTTCCTTCTAGAAATATATGTCACCTGGGTAATATTCACAAACTAAATGTCTAAAAGTTGCGGAAGTGGAGCAAGCGTAATTATAGAACATAACTATGGGATTATAGTATAATCTTCCTCAAGATTCAAGTTCTAAACCAACAACAACAAAGACAAATA